CAATGCAGCTGTTGACTGCAATTTATATTTAATACAGTTTATATTTATAAATAAAAATATTGATATTTATAAAATGTATATTTTATGAAGGAAGTGTCCTACAAAGGCAAAACTGCCTAAGCCCCATGAAAGCCACAATGCAGTTCTGGATGGTAGCTTAAAATTGGCCATGGTGGGGATATTTACACCACAAAAATCAGCAAATGCTACAAATCAGGACTTGAATTTTTGCTTTGTTAGCGAAAATTTTCTGTAAAGGGACAGATGGTAGATATTTTAGGCTTTGCAGACCATGTGATTGTGTCACAACTACTCAACTCCGCCTTGTAGTACAAAAGCTGCTACAAACAGTAAATAATGAGCATGCTGTGTTCCAATAAAATGTAGTTTGCCAAACCCCAGCCTAGACTTAAAGTGATGGAGAAAGTGTCAGTTATGCAGACTAAACTTTCAGAATATCATGTCTGTAGCTGTTACATTGTGATTAGCACAAAAATGTGATAGCATTTGAAACTCTTACTTTATTCAGCAAAGAAGTTACTCATGTCATTGAATAACAAGTGAAGTTCTGATGTACGCCTTCATTATTTCATTTTCATCTGATTCGTGAATATACATGAAACTATCAACCCACATTCATGTTGGAGCTATACTTGGAAAGCATATGTTGTCAAGCAAGTTACCATCGTGGTTAACTGAAGCTTAATTCTGTGGGGAAACTCTGGGAAACAATGCAAAACACACATCTCAGAGTTATCCTACCCAAGGGGCAAGGGAGCTGGGGTATTTATACACCACCTCCCAAAAGTCATTAGTTGAGGACTGATCCTACAGGGTGTTAATTCCTTAGAACTTTTGGCCTTCTGGGAACACTGGTAGCTGAAGCTTTTTGCAGTTTTAGAAAAAGAGCTCTCAGGCACAGTGATGCAGATAACAGCTAAAAATCTAGTCCACTTTAAGGGATACCAACAGTGCATGTCACACCCTGTAAAGTAAAAAGTCTGGGGAGGACTGTCCTAGCTGATATGGCAGCTGTGCCTCAAATATCTTCAGGGAATCAAGCTTCATCCAGCTTTATCATCCCTAGAATTAATTTATTTTCCTCAGGGTCCAAGCTTCCAGCTAAAGCTCTAGCCTTCACATGTACATTCTAGGCAGAAAGATAGAGGAAGAGATGAAAAATAAGAGGCGAGGAGACCACATCAGTTGTCTTTTAAGAAAGGAATTTGGAAGATGCTACACCACACTTCCACTTACAACCCATCGATCAGAACTTAATCACATGGCCACACTTTGCTGCAAGAGTGGGAAATGTAGTCTTCATTCCAGGGAGTTATGTGTCCCTAATAAAAATTCTATTTCTCAGAATTCTACTTCTAGAAGGAGGGGGAACATAGATATGGGGACAACCAGCAGTCACTGCCAACCCCCCAAAGGGAAGGGATGCAAACAGAATGCAAACTGTTATAGCCTTATGTCAGAACATATTGTGACAAGGACAGACACGTGACAAAATTGAGGGCCCAGGGGGGTAATAAGGAGGCAGTTTTACAAGTCACAGGGAAGAGAATGAAACAAGTGCTTTCCCTATTTTTAAACTCAAAGCTATAACTAGAGAAAAGATTGAAGCAAGTCATTAACATCTTAGAATGGGCACTTTACCCATGCCTTCTTTGCCATCTTCCGGGGAGGAGTGCATGCCATTTTCCCATAAAATGGGTGGCACAAATCTATCCCCATATTTATTTAATAGACTTTATTTTTTAAAGCAGTTTCATGTTTACAGAAAAATGAGAGTTCCCGTATACTCCCTCATCCAGCCCCCAGTTTCCCCATTATTAATATCTTGCCTCAGTGTGGTACATATGTTACCATTGATGAGCCAATAATGATACACTATTATTAACCAAAGTCCATATTTTACATTAGGGTTCACTCTTTGTGTTGTACATTCTATGAGTTTTGACATATTTATAGTGATATGTATCCACCATTAAGAGAATCATATGGAATAGGTTCACTGCCCTAAAAATCCCCTGTGCTCCACCTCTTCATCTCTCCCTCCCTCCCCAACAAACCCCTGGCAACCACTGAGCTTTTCACTGTCTCTATAGTTTTACCTTTTCTACAGTGTCCTATAGTTGGAATCATACAGTATGTAGCCTTTTTAGATTGGCTTCTTTCATTTAGTGCATTTAAGGTTCTTTCATGTCTTGATAGCTCATTTCTTTTTAGCACTGAACAATATTCCGTTATATGGATGTATCACAGTTTGTTTATCATTCACCTATTGAAGGATATCTTGGTTTCTTCCAAGTTTTGGCCATTACAAATAAAGCTGCTACAAACATCTGTGCAGATTTTTGTGTGGACATAAGTTTTCAGCTCATTCAGGTAAATAACCAAGGAGTGCCACTGCTGGACTGTATGATAAGAGTATGCTTGTTTTGTAAGAAACAGCCAAATGTTATCTAAAGTGCCTGCACTACTTTGCATTCCCACCAGCAACGAGTGAGAGTCCCTGTTGATCTACATCCTTGTCAGCTTTTGGTTGTATCAGTGATCTTAATTTTAACCATTCTGATAGGAGCTCAGTGGTATTGCACTGTTATTTTAATTTGCATTTTTCTAATGACATATGATGTTGAGCATCTTTCCACATACTTATTTTCCATCTGCATACCTTCTTTTTGAGGTGTCCATGTGTTTTGCCCTTTTTTTTTTTTTTTTTTTTTTTTTTTTGTGGTACGTGAGCCTCTCACTGTTGTGGCCTCTCCTGTTGCAGAGCACAGGCTCCGGACGCGCAGGCTCAGCGGCCAGGGCTCACTGGCCCAGCTGCTCCGTGGCACGAACCCGTGTCCCCCGCATCGGCAGGCAGACTCTCAACCACTGCGCCACCAGGGAAGCCCTGTTTTGCCCATTTTTTAAAGTGAATTGCTTTCTTATTGTTGAGTTTTAAGACTTTGTGTATTTGGGATATCAGTCCTTTGTCAGATACATGTTTTGCAAATATTTTCTCTCAGATTGGAGCTTGTATTTTCATTTTCTTAAATGTCTTAGAGCAGAGTTTTAATTTTAATAAAGTCCAATTTATCAATTTTTTCTTTCACAGATCATACTTTTGATGTTGTACCTGTCCCCAGTATTCATCAGTCTTTCCTGTGACCAAAGGGATAAATCAGGGTGCAGGCTAATGGGATTCAGAGGGCAGTGTAAACTGAAAGAGCAGGAGGGCAGGAATTGACCCTTTGATCTTGTCCATATAGGCTCCACCTTTTGAGATCATTTCTCAGTCATCTATTTCTATAATAATGCTACATAACAAAAACAACCCCAGAACTCAAGGGCTTATAATAATAAGCATTTACTTCTCTCTCACATGTCCATGGGTTGGCTGGATTTCAGTTGATCAAGGCTGTGCTCAGCTGGGTTCAAATCCAAGCTGCAGGCTGGGTCCAGATTTGTTCCACATGTCACTTATCTTCCTTGGACCTTGTTCTTTACAGGTCAAAAGACTGGAGGGCAAGCCCAGCCACACAAAGCACATTTCTAGTCTTTGCTTACATCATATGTGCTAACATCCCATTGGTGAAAGCAAGTCCATGGCCAAGCTCAACATCAATGGGGCAGGGAAGTATACTCCTCCTATGGATTACTGAACAGCAATCTAATATGCCACAAATCATATATGCAAATTCCTATCACAGGACCCTGGGCTCTGCTTTCAGATATCCAAAGACACATTCCCAAACAAGAAAGCAAGAGAGAAATTCAGTTATAAACTAAGTAAGTTGAAACACTGCTAGCTTTATTTTCCACTGTTCTTATACCCAGTGCCTAAGGTTAGACCCTGTGCTACAGAGTCAAGTCAGTATAGTGTTCCATGGGACTCTGGCAGGTGCTTCACAGAAGGATATAGATACTTCAGGAGATACAATAATACAGAAAGGTATTATTTGCTCCCCACCCCACTGTCCACCTCTTCTCATCGCTCCTCCTACAACAAAGCTAACCAACAGTGACTTTCAACTGAGACAACATGCAGGAAGGCCCCACTGCCTCATCTTCTCTGTCTCCTTCCCACATCTGCCCCCACCCCCCACCCTCCACTGAGAGCTTCCAACGCAGGGTACCAGATACCTCTCAGCAGCCATAGCTCCAGCTGCCAGGGCTCCTGCAATGGTGGATACCATCTTAACAACCATGATGGCTGCTTGGCCATGAGAAATGCAGGGGCTACAGGCAGCCCCCAACCCTGTGGGAGATCCAGACCAACCAACGTGCATAGCAAATTGGCTTGACAGGAGAGTCAGTGTCCCAGATCGTGAAAAATCATTCCTGTCATCCTGGCTGACCCAGCTTCTGGGAGACAAAAAACCATCCACTGTGATAGGTGGATAATGCTCCCCATCAAAAAAAAATAAAAAAAAAAAGATGTCCCCCTCCTAATTCCTGGAACTTGTGAAGATGTTACCTTATGTGGCAAACGGGACTTTACAAATGTGATAAAGGAACTGGAGATGGAAAATTAGTCTGGATTATCCAGGTGGGTCCAATGTAATTACAGGGGTTCTTACAAGTAACAGAGGGAGGCAGGAGCCTCAGAGTCAGAGAAGGAGATGTGATGATGGAAGCAGAATTTGGAGTGATGAACAGAAGGAAACCAGGAATGTGGACAGCTTCTAGAAGCTGGAAAAGGCAAGTACACAATTGTCCCCCAGAGCCCTGCCAACCCATCTCAGACTCTGACCTATGGAACTGTAAGACAATAAATTTGTTTTGTTTTAAGCCATCAAGTTTGTGCTAATTTGTTACAGAAGCCATAGGAAACTAATACAGCCAGCAAGTATTTGGGGGCAGTTAGAAAACTGAACCCCACTTCTCTTTGCCAGTCCTTCCCCCTTTGACTTGACATCCAGCAAAAGGCAAATATTCAGAAATTGGCAGGACAAGACAAGTCAACCTGTTAGTAAAATCTTTAGCATTCAGATCTTTTATTTAAATACTTATTTCATTATTTTTAAAGTTCTCCATCCAAACCACAGCTGTAACTGGAATCCAGCTGTCCCAGGCAATAGAAATATCAACCGGGGGCGTCCTGAGATTGGCAGATTGTGGGTTGTTAGAGTCAAAAAGAGATTGTCCGGTCCAACCCACCCACTTGACAGATGAGGAATTGTGGCTGGAGAGAGGGTGGGTGTCTGGGAGTGGGAAAGGTGAGCGGGTGCTGGGCAGATGGCGCTGGAGCCCCTGTGCAGGCATGGCCTCAGTGCCTGGCCCTGCCTGGCCGCCCCCCGTCATGGCTGCTGTTGGTACTGGCTCTCGGTGGCCGTGTAGAAGTCATCCAGCACACTCTGGATGTATTCGAAGGTGGGCCGTTCCTCGGGGTGGTTCTTCCAGCAACGAGTCATGATGTTGTAGAGCTCCTCGGGGCAGTGCTCTGGTCGAGGCATCCGGTACCCCCGCTCCAGTGCCCGGATCACCTCGGGGTTTGACATCCCTGAGAAGGAGCCATGGAATTGAAAAGGGAGGGATTGGGGTTGGGGTGGCAGACACCGTTGCCTCCCCAACAACCATCACTCCCCACCTCCCCATGGGAGCTGAGCTCCTCCCACTGTGAAAGCCAGGTATCCCTTCCCCAGCCACCCCTGCAGCGAGGGCAGGGGCCTGGTGCCCAGTTTTGGCCAATGGAGCTGACGGGGAGACTCCCAGGAAACTTTCAGGCAAGGTTTTTCTCCCTTATGGGAAAAGAGGCTTTGGAGGACACACCCTTCCTCCTTCCTTTGGATACTGACACAATGTGATCTTTGGAGCTGCAGCAGCCATCTGACCACATGGCGAAGACAGTCACAGAGGAACCAACCCAGAGTCCTGAGAGCCTTTGAGCAACTGAACTGACTAGTCACCAGTGCCAGACTCCTTGCTCTGGGGAATAATAACTTACCTATTGTCTCCAACACTCTTAGCCTGATAATTTGTTACATGCAGCCTAATGCATCCTAATGGATACAGCATTCCATAACCCATTGCCTGGTTTTTATTGGTGTACCCTCAAGATAAAACAGTCAGGTAGCTAGATTCAGGTAGCTAGTGTCACCCTATGAGTGGGAACATTTCTTTTTTTTTTTTAGAAGATGTTGGGGGTAGGAGTTTATTACTTTATTTATTTATTTTTGCTGTGTTGGGTCTTTGTTTCTGTGCAAGGGCTTTCTCTAGTTGCGGTGAGCGGAGCCCACTCTTCATCGCAGCTCGCGGGCCTCTCACTATTGCGGCCTCTCCCGTTGTGGAGCACAGGCTCCAGACGCGCAGGCTCAGTAGTTGTGGCTCACGGGCCTAGTTGCTCCGCGGCACGTTGGATCCTCCCAGACCAGGGCTCGAACCCGTGTCCCCTTCATTAGCAGGCAGATTCTCAACCACTGCACCACCAGGGAAGCCCCAGGAACATTTCTTTGTTCAATTAAAGTTTATGTTAGTTATCCTCAAGAACAACCCTTTAAACATCTGTGATCCCCAATTTTATATTACCAGTCTTGAACACCAAACATATTCATAGATCCAAGTGCTTCCTTGAACATCTTTACTTGGACGTCTACAAGTCACCTCAAATTTAACAGGGCTGAAACAGAATTCTTGAATTTCTGTTCCCAGACCATCATGCACCCAGTTGCTCAATCAAAACAAGGAGACTCATCCTTGATTCTTCTCTCTCCCTCACCTTCCACATCAGTAAGTCACATCCTTTCTTCTTATAAAACACAGCACCAAATCATCAACTTATATCTGTTACGACTGTCACCACTGCCTGTGCCATTGCTGCAGCTCCCACCATCTCCCCAGCCCCGATGCACTCTCCACACTAAGCCAAAGCATCACTTAAATGTGGAAATCAGATGATGCCACTTCCCTGCCTAGAATCCTCCAATAGCTTCTGTACACTTAGACTAACACCTATAGGCTTCACCATGACTACGGATCCTGCCTGACTGGGCCCCTGCCAACCCCCTCATGTACCGTCTGCTCTCATTCCTTGTCTCCAGCTACCTGGCTTCCCTGCTATTCTTCAGGCACACCGCAGGCCCTAAGAGCTGGCAGTACCTTCTACCGGAAATCCTTTCCCCAGATCTTCACTCAGCTGGCTTTCTGCTCAAATATGACCTGCTCTGACAGTGCTTCCTGTCTGCAGGAGGCCCATGTCCCTCCCTCTCCCGAGCCCCTGCTTCATTTTCTTCTCTGCAGTGATCTCCACTGAGAGTGTGTGTCTGTTTAGTGTGTGTTCCTCCAGGCTAGAATGTGAGCTCCTGCTGAGCAGGGACCTTGTCTCTTACTGTATCCTTCATGCACTGTATCCTTCATGCCTAACACATAGTAGGAATTTGATAAATACTGATGAGTGAACCAAGTGTCTACACCTTTTATTTCTAATCTTCAAAACCATTTCTGCAAGGTAGTTGACATCATTACCTATAATTTTTACAGATGAAGAACTAGGGTAGAAGTCAAGTGGATTCCCAAAGTGTAATAGTTGATGCGGACAGGATTAAAACTCAGGACTATTTACTTAAAAAGTAGGGGACACGGGCTTCCCTGGTGGCGCAGTGGTTGAGACTCCGCCTGCTGATGCAGGGAACGCGGGTTCGTGCCCCGGTCCGGGAAGATCCCACATGCTGCGGAGCGGCTGGGCCCGTGAGCCATGGCCGCTGAGCCTGCGCGTCCGGAGCCTGTGCTCCGCAACGGGAGAGGCCACAACAGTGAGAGGCCCGCGTACCGCAAAAAAACAAACAAACAAAAAACCCTCAATAAAATAGGATTAAATATTTCCTTAACATGGCAAAATACATCTATCTCAGCCCAAAGAAAAAAAAAAAAAAAAAAAAAAAAAAAAAAAAAAAAAAAAAAGTCAGGGAATCTTTATATCCACCTTGCCTCCTCTCCCCAGTGTTCTGGCTACAGATACCCTAGGATACACCCCAACTGAAAAGGAACAGAGAACAACTTTATTTACTGAGTCCCAGGCAATCTACATGTCGGGTATATCTTTGTATACCCTATGGTCTACTCAGTGTAGGGTGCTGCCCATAGGCATGGGGATAAATTCACCCATTTGACGAATAGTTAACTAGACACCCGTTACGAGCCAAGCACAAATGTAGGCAGTGCAGATGCACCAGTAAGGAATACAGAAATGATTTCTGGCCTCACAGAGCTCAGAGTCTGATGGAGAAAATATCAAATGAATATATAGTTATCAGTGGTGATGAATGCTGTGAATGAAACAGTATAGGGTATTGTGAATGAGAATCACAGGGACACGTATGGTACTTTAGATCAGAGGTCCCCAACCACCGGGGCGTGGACCAGTACAGGAACTGGGCCGCACAGCAGGAGGTGAGCGGCGGGTGAGCAAGCGGAGCTTCATCTGCTGCCCCCCATCGCTCCCCGTACCTCGCGTTACCACCTGAAACACCCTCCCACCTCCATCCGTGGGAGAACTGTCTTCCGTGAAACCAGTCCCTGGTGCCAAAAAGGTTGCTGCTTCAGATGACTGGGCTGTGGGGTACAGCATGAAATGAAGCGGGAAAAGTAGGCAGGGGCTGGATCATGAAGGACCTGCAGGCCACAATTAGGGGTTGGGATTCTGTCCTAATTATGCCGGGAGGCCATTAAAAAGTTAGAGGTGGAGAAGGGAAAAGGTCTGGTTCACAGTTTTAGAAAAATCCCTCTGGTCTCAGGTGGAGAAAGGCCTGTTAGAGAGATGGGAGACTGATTAGGAGGCCACTGCACCAGCGAGGTGAGGGAGGATGTTGGCCTGCTGTTGGTGGAGGCTGTGGAGTTAGAAGTGGGCCGACTTGGGATGTTTTGGAGTCAGATGGCCAGAACCCTGTGACTTCTTGGATGTGGAAACAGATGAGAGAAGAGGAAGGGCCAAGCAGGCTCCCAGATTTCAGTCTTAAGAAACTGGATGGATAATGGAGGCTTTAACTGAGATGGGGCCGGCGAGGGGAAGTTGGGGGTGAGGGCCAAGAACTCAGTCTGACATAGAGAACAGACTGGTGGTTGCCAAGGGGGAAGGGGTTGGGGGAGGGATGGAGTGGGAGGTTGGGGTTAGCAGATGGACGCTTTTATACATAGAATGGATAAACAACAAGGTCCTACTGTACAGTACAGAGAACTATATTCAATATCCTATGATAAAACATAATGGAAAAGAATATTAAAAAAAGAATGTATATAACTGAATCACTTTGCTGTACAGCAGAAATTAACACATTGTAAATCAGCTATACTTCAAGAAAAATATTGATAAAAATCGGGACTTCCCTGGTGGTCCAGTGGTAAAGAATCCACCTTACAATGCAGGGGACGTGGCTTTGATACCTGGTCAGGGAACTAAGATCTCACATGCGGTGGGGCAACTAAGCATGTGTGCCACAACTACTGAGCTCGTGTGCCTCAACTAGAGAGCCCCCGTGCCGCAAACTACAGAGCCCACGCGCTCTGGAGCCCACGTGCCACAACTAGAGAGGGAAAACCTGCAAGCCACAATTAGAGAGAAGCCCGAGCACCACAATGAAGAGCTCGCACGCTGCAACAAATGATCCCGCGTGCCTTAAAAAAAAAAAAAAATTGATAACAATACATAAACAAAATAACAAACAAACAAACGAAAACTCGGTCCAAATGGCCGTATTGACAAGAGAAGAGAGCCAGGCTGGGCTCTGGAAGCAGCCCCAAGCTGATGTTCCCTCTCCTACCTGGGTAAGGGATCCGGCCGTAGGTGACGATCTCCATCAGCAGGATACCAAAGGACCAGACGTCTGACTTGATGGTGAAGGAGCCAAAGTTGATGGCTTCAGGAGCTGTCCACTTGATGGGGAACTTGGCCCCTGTGGTTTGGACAGAGCAGAGTCAGGCTGAGTCTGGGGAGCAGTCAGGGCGGGTCTCTGCTAGTGCTAGGGAACAGGACAGCGGTACAGCTGCCAACGTCTGCCCCCTGCAGAACTGTGACTTCCCTCAATCTGGCCTCCATGGAAGCAAGGAACATCCATCCTGAGGACAGATGGCTGAAGTGGGGCCGAGGCGCCTGGGGTGTGTTTGGGAACTCACTCTCCAGGGCCACCTCATTGATTCAGCTGATGTCCTGGTGAACTGCAACTCCTGAAGAGTGGAGTCCGAGAGGTCACAGGATCTTTGGGGACAGCAGAACTTCAAGGGACTTTGAGACCAGGTCACATCTGATGCCTCCGCCCCCTAACCCCCTGCAATGGGGAAAGGGAAGGTTTCGGCTCTTGGCCTCTGAGGTTTCCCCCGTCACTGGGTGTCTCCCCTTCTAGTCCTCCTCTCCTTGCCTCTGGTCTGGGATGGGTTTAGTTAACCTTTGGTGAGTGATTTCTATCATAATTCCACTGTGGTTGGGGAATGTGGTGTAAAGGATACATGTTCTTTGGAGTTTGTTGAGACCTGCTTTATGATTTAGTACATAGTCAAGTTCTGAAAATGCTCTATGTTTTTTCTTTTTTTCCCCAATCCCTTCCTTCCTTGCGATTCAGTTTTTTTTTATTCCCGCTTAATCCTCTCTTGGTTTAGAAATTATACACTATTCTTTTTTTTTTTTGCAGTGTGCGGGCCTCTCACTGTTGTGGCCTCTCCCGTTGCAGAGCACAGGCTCCAGACGCACAGGCTCAGCAGCCATGGCTCATGGGCCCAGCTGCTCCACGGCATGTGGGATCTTCCCGGACCGGGGCATGAACCCGTGTCCCCTGCATCAGTAGGCGGACTCTCAACCACTGCGCCACTAGGGAAGCCCTACACTCTATTCTTTTAGTGGTTGCCCTAAGTTTAGATTTTTTTTATTGTGTCATAATAAACATGAAATAAAATGTACAAATCTTTCATACACAACTTGATGCATTTTATATATGTATATCCCTTTGTAATCACTCAGATCAAGATATAGAACACTTTCTCAGAAGTGTTCCCTCCGGCCCCCTCTCTGTCAATACCCCCCCCAATCCAGGTAGCTATTATTCCGATTTCTAGCATCAGAAATGTGTTTTGCCTGTTTTTTTTTTTGTTTGAGATACATTCACAGACCATATAATTCACCCACCTAAAGTATACAGTACAATGGTTCTTAGTATATTCACAAAGTTGTGTTTTAAAATATTTTCATCATACCCCCCAAAACCATAGCAGTCACTACCCATTTCTTGCCAGGTCCCCACTCCAGCCCTAGGCTGGAGTTAATCTACTTTCTGTCTGTAGATTTGCTTCTTCTGGGCATTTCATATAAATGGAACCATATAATATATGGTCTTCGTGTCTGGCTTCTTTCACTTAACACGATGTTTTCAAAGTTTATCCGTGTTTAGGGTATATTAGTATTTCATTCCTTTTTTTATGGCCAAATGATATTCCATTGTATGTCTATATCCCATTTTGTGTATCAGTTGATGGACATTTGGGTTGCTTCCACTTTTGGGCTCTTAAGAATAATGCTGCTGTCAACCTTCACATATGTGTTTGCCTGTTTCTGAATTTTATATAAATGGAACTATCCAGCATCTACTTTTTTGTCTGATTTCTTTTATTTCGATATTATGCCGTGAGAGTCATCTATTTTTTTGCATGTGTCACTGGTTCGTAAGTTCTCATCGTTACATAATATTATATTCTGTGAATATACCCCAATTTATTTATTTTTTATTTATTTTTTTTTTTTTGCGGTACGCGGGCCTCCCACTGTTGTGGCCTCTCCCGCCGTGG